GTCCCAATACCTACCACCAAAGCCCATGTAAGGATCTGTTTCCTTAAAGACTGAAGAAAAACTCCTCTGAAAATAAAATGGAAATGATACTTTAAAAAAAAAGTAGATGCATAATGTTTCTTGCTTTACTACCAAGTAAGAAAAATGTACATAGTGATGGTTGATGTTATGGGTCAATGAGAGTAGGTTATAAATTCCACTGTTGTATGGTGGTTTTCCATTTGTAATATAATGTTATGGTTATTCTTTTTGTAGTATTATGCAATTTTATGTGTTTCAAAACCTTATCTGTATATACTAATAGAGTAGAGTTAGTGTGGAGTATATCTTGAGTGATAGGTTTACAATAGATTATGACTCTAATTGTATACTTAATCAAACGACACCTTTCTATATTGTAAGGGAAGTTTCCTTAAGGACGTTAATGGCATCCAAGATGAACAGATGGACACTCTAGAAGTCAGTCAGCCAGCTAGCTAGATAGAGACTTATTGTAGAAAAACCTTCCCTTCTCTGCAACCTACAACAATCTCTGGTTCTTGGGTCATGAGCTAGCAGCTTGCTCTGGACCTCATCAGTTTTCACATTTTTGAGCCTCCTATCTGCCATCTGACTTGTCAGTTTTGAGATTCACAAGAAGGTCAAATTTCCAACCATATGGCTGAGTAGACACCTCCAGACTCATGACTGAACCAAAGGAAATATTTTCCCAAACATCACCTTTGTAATTTCCTTGAGAGAAATCAATCATTTTCTCAAACTCTTTCTCTCTCCTCCAATTCTCTGTGTCTGTCTTCTTCAGTCTCTCTCAAATATACACAGACATACACATACTCAAACATACATATTTGAATATTTGATTGTTTTCTTTTCTCCTAGAGACTCAATGTAAGACAAGTTGACTTCTTCAGAATTAAATTATCAAACATAAAGCACTAAGAACTGGATAAATCGTTCTTAATTCTCTCAAACTGCATTCTCACAATTTCATAATAAAAAATATTATAGTATTCAACAAAGTCAGCAAATTAATTTGAAAATGGAGGCTAGTTAAATAAAAGTCTGTCTCACAAAGGTCATAGAGTAAAACCATGATCAGGTCATTTCATAAGAATTCTACAGTTATGTACTGCCGTTTACCAATGCAAGTAAATTACTGTTTCAAACAGACAAGAGACATCAAGAGGAGGAGTGGTGCTAGAGAAAGTTGTAAAAGCAGGCCTTTCACCAGCACACTCACTTGATGGGGAGATCATTTCACTTGTTGATTATGAAAGATTCCACTGTAAACCCATACATAGTGTTATGGCTGGTCCAACAAATCACAGTTTCACATCAGATCATGCTATTTCACCGATGACAAATGTACATTAAATACAGCTCAAATTTAGGGATCTCAGTCTTAAATAAGCTATCACTGTGTGCTTTTAGGAAAGGGACAATTATCACTCAGCAGATAAAAATAACCACATTTTTACAATAAAATATGTTAAATATTTATAATTTTATTGTTATATTATGAAAACTGTAAAAACTTATAGGTGTCGCTTTGATAAATGATGTTAACTAGTTTCCTAGTAGTTGTTTCTTTTCCTGTAAAATGGTCTATATATCTCTTATGCGTGATACCTAGAAATTGGAAATGGTGATTCCTTTAAATTAAAGCAGTTTGGCAAAAAAAGTATGAAAGAAACAGATGGCAAATATTTTCAAATATGGATCAATCTTGAGATTATTCCACAAAACACCTGATTAATTACTAGGAGTTTAGGTTTTTTCCCATATTCCTCCATGTTTTAAATTTAAAAAAAATATCAAAATAAATATTTTAATATGATCAAATAAAAAATGTAATATTCCTAAAATATGAAAACTATAAGAGCAATTTTACCAAAGATCAAATATAGCAAACAGATGACCATGAATAGTTCATACTCTCATAATTACCTCCTCTGTTATGTATTTTGTGAATTATATATGTAATTAATGTAAATATGTTTCTATATTTTGTAAGGTCAGCTTCAGATTAAACATAGAATAGTTTTAAATTTTTTAAGATATAAAACAATTTGTTTTTAATCCACTCTTCCTCCAGAAAGAAAGAACAGCTTTCCTACTGGGTCTTTTTCCTAGTTTTTTAAATCTCATCGCCATTGAGTCTGTTTTGCCTCAGAGCTGACCTTCCTGTGGTTTTCCAAGGCTGTAAGAGGTTGTCCAAGGCTGTAAATATCAGGAGAGATTTCCCATCTTCCTCCCATCGAATCATTCACTGGTGGATTCAACCCTTCAGAAAAGCATCGCCTTCATGTTAACAGTGCAACTCTCTATACAACATCATACAAAATTTTTGACACTGTAGAATATCATCTATTCCTGTTCTATTATTCAGTGTTATAGGTCAAATAGTAGTTCTTTTAATATTCGGTCAAACACCACACACTGAAACAGGACAAAGAACTGCAGATGCCTTCCTACTCTGCCAATTTAAAATGGTCGAGAGCTATTTTGCTTTATTGTTGTTGTTATGTCCCATTGAGTCAACTATGACTCATAGCAACCCTATGCACAATTATTTCTGAACTCTGCTCTACCCTAAGCCAGTCTTAGGATCTCTTACAACTTGCCACTATTGCCACAATCAAAGTGTCAGTCAATCTCATCTAGTGTCTTTTCCTCCTGCACTGACCCTCACTCCTTCCTAGCATGATGTCCTATGCCAAGGACTGGCAACATACCCAGAGTTTGTGAGACAGAGCTTCAAAATCCTTGTCAAAGGAACAAACTGGTCTCATCCTCTCTAGGACTGATCTTTCTATTCTCTTGTCAGTACATGGTTTTTCAATACTCTTCTCCAACATCACAACACAAAGGTATAAATTCTTCTTCTTTCCTCTTTGGTCATTGTCCAGTTCTCTGACGCATATAGCAAGTAATTGCAAGGATCATTGCCTGGATCAGGCACACCTTAGTCTCTAGACTGACATCAATGCTCTTTTGCACTCTAGAGAGATCCCTGACAGTAGGTTTTACTAATGTAATTTATCTTTTGATTTTTTGACTGTAGTTGCTAATAGTATAAATTGTCTGCAATTTTCCTATATGCAAAGAATGAATATAAAACCAAATCTACTTTGATCAATTAAATTTTGACTCACAGCAACCCTTCTTCATGTTTCCAAGGCTGTAAATTTTAAATGCAGGCTGCATTATCTTTCTCTCACAGAAAACTCCAAGGTTCAAATCACTGACGTTTTCTTTTTTCTTAAATTACTGTTAAGTCAGCAGCCTGACATATCAAGTATGCTTACACAAAAAGAATTTTTAAAAACTCAAAAAACAAAACACAAACACAAACAAAACATCAATACAACTCAGTGTCATTGAGTCAGAATTGACTCAGAGTCAATTATGTGAGTTTTCAGAGGCTGTAAATCACACAAGAGAAGTTTGCTCATCTTCCCCACAGAGTCACTGTTGTTATTGTCATGTGCCGTCGAGTCACTTGCGACTCATAGTGACCCTCTGTACAACATCCCTAAAACCTGCTCTATCCTGTGCCAATTGCACTGCCTCTGACACACCCATCCCGATTACCCCAGTCACTGAATCAATCCACCTCATAGAGGCCCTTCCCCTTCTGCGCTCTCCATCCACCCTCCCAAGCATGATGTCCGTCTCCAAGGACTGAGCTCTGCTTACATGACCAAAGTATGTCAGATGAAGCCTCAGAATCCATGCCTCCAAGGAGCCGCCCAGTTTAACCCTCTCCAGGATGAACCTGTTTGTTTTCTTAGCACTCAATACTCTTCTCTAACACCACAACTCAATAGTACACTGAAATAAGCAGACAGGTTCTGCCTTTGAGTCAGCAGTAAAAACCAGGCCACCAGAGCTACCTATATACAAACAGTAAGGAAATATATTTCTGATAAATGTTATCAGGCTATATCACATTTGAGTAGCTATATAATTTCCAGAAATAATTTTATGCTAGATTATACTAGTGAGATTATAATTGTTTAATTAGTCATGTTCTTAGAAAAATGATACAATTCTCTATTAAATTATCACCAGATATAATTGCTATGCAAAAATAGTCTATGTTGTCAAACTTAATATTCAAAAGAACACTACTTTGTAGTAAATCTAATTGAATTTAATGTTAATAGTCACATATACTCCTCACTGTATGGATGTACCTTTCTTAGAACAGAGTAAATTAACTCTAAAACAACATAAAATAAAACTTTTCATGCAACACAAGGAACCTCATATGAAAGCTAAGTTTATTTATTAGTAGGCTAAAACAATTTTACATCAGTTTTGAAGAATTTTAAGCATAAAAATCCTAGTTAATGATATTTTCTAAGATTTATCATATTAGAAGACAATTAGTAAACAATAACATGATTCTGGAGTACAGATTGTTAAGATAACCACATGGAGTTTGCTTCAGTTATACTCTTCATAAAGCAAATTATCACTTTAAATCTTTTGAGTTTCCATTTGTAACTTCTTTCATTTGTTTAAAGGGGGAAAGAATCTTTTTTCACACTGTAACTTACAGCTATACATATAGAGGAATTCTGGTGGTCTAGTGGCAAGAAGCTGTGGTGCAATTCTGAAGGCACTTGGTTTGAGACCACCAGCTGCTCCACAGGATAAAGATGGGCAATCTCCTCCTGTAAAACTACCTGCCTCTGAAAACCCACCTGAGGTCGCCTATGGGTCGGTTCCGACTTGACAGTTCAAACACACAAACACAAGTATAAAAGCATAGTAGCAAATGTCAGAACTTATAATTAATTTTCTATGCTATAAATCTCATATGCTAACAGTATATATGTCTACTAAAAAAGAATATCGAGTGTTTGTCTATAGTTATGTACTAGATGTTTATTCATAATACTTATTTTATAAAAATCAACAAATAAAATATAAAGGCTTATTTATTATAGTTTTGTTATTAACTCTATGAGAACAAAGTTTATATGCAGTACCTTTGGATATTGTTTGACAGGGATCAATACCCTTTCTGAGAGTTTTATGTTTTTGTTGCTGATGACGTCAAGATATTTCTTCTCTTCATCTTCCTTTTTTCCATCAGAACCTTGGAATTTTTCAATTTCTAAGAAGTCACAAGAAAAAGAAAACACACAAAAACTATAAGTGGAATAAAAAAGCAAACAAACACAAATTATTTTTCTTAATAAATACTGCTTTCAAGTCTATTAAGATTCAACTGACACTCCACTGATTTCCAAGACCTTAATCTTTACAGGTGGAGAATTTTCATCCTCAATTTTTCAGTGAGCAGTCTTACATATTGCAAACCCTACTACCTATTATGCTTACTATTAATGATTATGTTTTAATTAAGGTTTTTAAAAAGCTTAATGAACTTAAACAGCATCCTACTAACAGTTATGTGAATGTTGCTCTTTATCTAAGATTACTTGTGTCAATTAGAATCACAGTAAGTTTGAGCTTGAGTTTGTCTTCTGTGAAACAAAAGATAGAAGCAATTGTTGCCATCTTCCATTAATAAGAATCAGTAATATGCTGTGTGACTATTTAAATTATCCATAAAGAATAAATAGAAAAAATAATAGGAAAAAAGTTTTATTTTTACCAGAATTGTAAGAAAATGAGAATAATAGCACTCATTCTACTATCTAAAACACAGTAATAAATAAAAATATAATGACATTTTACGGGTTAACCAAATTTAAAGGCAATGAAAGAGGAGTCAGAAAAAAAATTCATATTCAAGATTTTGTAAAAATGTTCTCATTCATAATTGTTGTTGTTGTTGACTGCCATCAAGTCAAGCATGACTCATAGAAACACTATTGTTTCTCCAAGTTCATAGAGTTTCCAGAGGCATGTGATTTAGGAAGTGGATGCCACTCCTGCTTCCAAACTTGAATAAATCTGGGAGCTCCACCAAACACTGTCCATAATAGGTAGCCATTATGGTGTTTGGCACTCCTATAATTGGTCCATTATGGCATTATAACATGTGAGATCCAAATAACACAAGATTCAGTATCACAGCAAACCCAGATTATGTCATCAAAGCAAATTGACCAGAGGGCTGTATGACTTAGAACAACATTCCTCCAAAATAAAGCAACAAATGATTAAAATATAATCCCTTAGCCCCCCCCCTGAAGTTTTATTGACTCTAAACAAGAGGCTTAAATAAAAACAACCAAGAAAACTACACAAATCCTCAAACAAAACAAGAGCACCATCTTACAAAGTCTAGCCACTTCACCCAACTCAAAAATGGAGACTAGGGCCTGGCATTATATGTTGTTGTGAAGCGCCATCTACTGCCAACCCTATAAACAAAAAAAAAATTATTGTCCTTCCTCTGAGATCATATAATCTCCACAGGAATGTTTAAGAAGTGGATGTTACCCCTGCTTCCAAGGCTGTCTTAATCAGTGATTAAGATATTGTCAAACATGTGTAACCATTATGGCATTAGGTACACCATTTGGTAACATAGCAATCCAAAGTTACTTGAATACAGAGAAAGGACAGAGCAATGCTTTTAGGAGAATGTACATTTCAAAGACAATTAAAACCAGGCCCTTGGGCCAGAGGGCCCCGGGCCCAAATTAATTTTCAAAAACCCCAGACCTGCAAGCTGGGCTGCCAATGGCTTCAACAAGAGGCTTCCAGCCAACCAAAAACTCCAGAGCCAGTCTCAAGCCAAAGTAGATGAAAAAAACAAACTCACACCTCCAAGGCCACATGAGTTTCCAAAGAACCCAAAAGAATGTTCAAAGACTTAGGCCTGCATGCTGGACTCTCACTGGCTCCAACAAGAGGCTTCCAGCCAAACAAATGCTCCAGACCTAGTCCGAAGCCAACATAGAGAATAAAAGCAAACTCGCCCCTCCAGGGCCACATGAGCTTCCAAGGACAATCATTCATAATTATAAACATGAAATTATCCATGTAAATGGTCAAATGGAACTACTACTTTTGTCCTATGAGGATACTCTTTAAATACTTTTCATATTTATTCATACAATAATTTATATTTTTATAACTTATTCAACAAATATTTTTTAACACTTGGAGTTTGTTAACTCTTCTTCTGTCAGCATTGTTATGAACAGTCAGGGTTTTATTCAGTTGTGCATGGGATCACTCCAAGTCAGAGAGCTGTCTGCGTGGCACCTAACGACAATTTGAAGACACAGGATTTAAAACAGAAAAAATCTCCAGTTTTGTGGCATCTCTATTAAATGGGAAAAATGGAAAATTAGAAAAAATAAATATGTATAAACATATGCAAAACTCTCTTCCATTGTCATGGAGTCAGAATCAACTCATGGCTAACCTTGCATTGGGTTTCTGAAGCAGTAAATTATAAGGGGAGAGACAGCATCTTTCTTCCCAGAAGTTAGTATTGGATGCAGTCTTTTAGAGGTGTGACCTTTGGATTAACAGCACAGTTATATCCTGTGTCATCAGACTATGCTGCTATGTTCTGATTATGCAATAACATCTAGATATTTTTATTCATAGGTAGATAATATGACCAATAAAGCTATTAAGAATATAAAAGAAAATGGAGTCATGGGATGAGGCTATTACTTTACATTTAAAGCATGCTTCTTGAGCAAGAAACTTGGGTGATGAGAAAAGCACACCATAATAAGATTTAGAATTTAACAGCCAGAAAAAGGAAGTGTTTGACATCTTCTCAGAACAGTGAGAAGCAAAAAGTCTGCATGACTAGAGAATAAGTGAATGTGGGAAAATAGCTGGGTATGTAGTTATAGTAGATTTTATGTGAAAATTTGCAAGCTCTAGAAAGTTTTGTACTTTTTTCCTGTGAGTGTAGTGAGAAGTTGGAAGGTTCTTAGTGAAAGAAAGAAGAAGTTACATTTGTTCTGAAATGGTACAGATAACACTGGCAATACTTTGAATATCTGATCCCAAAAGAGGGCAAATAAACAAGAAAACCAACTTAAATTTGTCTCGATGATAAGTGATTTGATTTATACTAACATAGTAGAAACAGAAATGGTGTGAAAATTATGTATAATTATAGTAACTGTAGAATTTACTATATGAAAACTGTGCATTGGAAAATAATTGAAAACTTAATTTTACAAATTTCCTTTCAGGTCTACTGGACAGCTATTATTATAAAAAATAATCTGTAAATATTTTCTTTCTCCTTTCCCTTGCCCAAATTTACTGATATAAAATCCTACAAAGACATGAATGTAATAGAGGGTGTTTGTGTCTATTATAGAAAGAGCAAAAGCATTTCTCATATTTTTGTTTTCAATTGGTTTGCATACAATAATTTATTTTTATTGTGTTTCAGTCACGTACATTGTTGTTTTTGGGGTTTTTTCTTCGTTTGCCCTTCCCTCCTCCTCTCAAACTCTGTGACCCTGTGATTTACCCCTTTCCCCACTTGTCAGCTTCCCTGCCCCATCTCATCCCTCTTTGATATCCATATACATCTTACTGGTTATCTTTTTGTCTTTACAATAATGGCTCGGGTGGCCTAGTGGCAAGACTGTGCTGCAATGCCAAAGGTATGCAGTTAGAGGCCACCAACTTCTCCATGGAAGAAGGATTGGAAATCTCCTCTTCTGTGATTAACTGCCTCTGAAAACCCACCTGAGGGTCAGCTGTGGGTTGGTTCAGAATCTGGTACACAACAACAATCTTAAAAAGAATTTGTTTATATGCACCTCAGTTCACTCAGCATAATGTTCTCTAGTCTTTCCCATGTTATATAGAATTATGGTGATGTCTACATGACGTCTTGTTGCTGTTGTTCACTGCTACAAGCTAGACCCTCAATTCATGATAACCCAAGCACAATGGAATGAATGCTGTTGGGACAGCACCATCTCTATACAACTACTGTGGTCCACAGAGTTTTCATTAGGTGATTATTTTTTTTTTTGGAAGTAGATCATCAGGACATTCTTACTAGTCTATTCTGGTCTGGAAGCATCTCTGAAACCTGCTTACTGTTGTTGCTTCCACTGACATTTGGTAGTAACCGCCGATGAGGAAAACTGCTCATTCACATCAAATAAAATGACATTTTGGTATAATTACTTTTAAATGCCCAATGAAGAATAAATACTCTTGAGTTGTCATGCTGGAGAAGAGGGCTTAGCATACCATGAACCACCAAGAAAGCAAACAGGTCTGTCTTGGAGAGGATGAAACCAAGTTTCTCCATGGAGGGAAGGATTTTGAAGCTCCGCTTCACATATTTTGTGCATTTGACCAGGAAAGACTGATCCTTGGAAATGAAGATCATGCTCATAAGGGTGGAGGAACTCAGGAGGAGAGGACCCTGAATGAGATGGATTGACACTGTGACTGAGAAAATAAGTGCTTATGTGTCCAAGACAGTGAGATTTGCTCAGGATAGGACAGAGTTCGGAGCTATTCTGTATAGGGTTGCTATGAGTCATAGGTGACTTGATGAGACAGAACAATAAAAACAACGTATCTACGCATGCGTGTTGGAATCAGTGAGACTGGCTCAGGATAGGGCAGGATTCAGAGCTGTTGTACTTGGGGTCATTCTGAGTTGCAGGCGATTCAGCAGAACATAATAACAACAACTAGTAAAGGTAGGGAGAATGTGTTCTTAAGTGTCCTTAAGCTAACCACAATTCATAGCAATTCTATGAACAACATAGCAACACACTGGACACCATATCAATAGTGATCCTATGACTAACATATCAAAACCTATGAACGACATATTAAAACTGCCCCATCTTCACAATATCCATCATAATTAAACTTCCTGTTCTGTGTTTAATCATCTATTTCACAGTTTTTCTCTCACTGGCCCCAACATATCTTGCTCTACGAAATGGTACCATCTGACAAAATGCTCAAAGTACGGGCAAGGAAGTTTTCACTATCCTTGCCATTAGGAAACATTCTGGTTGTAGTCACTCAAGACAGATTTATATTTTGGCAGTCCAGAAAATACTCAATACTCTTTACCAACACCACAATGCAAAGGTAACTAATTCTTCATCAGTCTTTCTTATTCATCATCCAATTTTCAAATGAATAGGAAGTAATTGAAAATATCATGGTTGTGCTCTA